AAACAACCTGGCAGTCTGAAAAGAGTAAAAAATGGTGCTTTGCCATAGGAGACAGATAAATACTTCTATCACAGTACACAGTAGCTTTTGGCAAAAGAGAAGTTAATGTACAGCATACTTATTTTCAAAAGTTCTTTCATAGTTTAAAGCTGGATCATTTAATGCACTCTAAAATATATTACTGTGTCTACAAACAATTCAGCATTCAGTTGTAAACTTCTAAAGGTGTGATTCCTGGTTCTGCACAGCCTGGACTTTTTCCACACTAAAATAGATCCTGAGTTTTTCCTGCCCTATTTTCAAGAAACACAATTTCAATAATATAGAATATAGCCCTTAGCTTGAAAAAAGGGAAAGGAAGTGATTTTAAAGAGTGCTCAGGATTCCCCATGAAAACCTAAATCCTCTACAGTGTTTATATCCTCTTCTAACTCTTACTGGTATAAAAATAAAGCCTCTCTTGGTTAAGCCAAATTCATTTTCTGGGTACCTGCTATTAAATTTGATGCAATCCTGAATTTTCAGTGGTAAAATGCTCTGATTTCTCCCTCCAATAAACTTCAGAAATGCACAAATTTATTTGTCATGGGTCGAGGTGTGATTTGATCCTGTCTGCCTTCACTGAATTGGTTTGTTTGGGGCTTTTTAGCTGAATAAGTTTACAATGCCACTCTGTCATGTTAGACTTGAGAAAAACCAATAATGTATATGAACCCTGCAGCTGCTGGTGCCCAAATCTGTATTCAGCCTGATCTAAAACAGGAGGGGAAACCCACTTTGGCTGGGACTTTGCTTGTTTGTTTTATTTCGTAAGCCGAATTTTATTTCCCTTGGTGGGAAGTGCAGGTGGCATGATTTCAGTCGCAGCAGAATCTCCCCTTCTAAATCAAAGGAAACAGATGTCATGGAAATATTAACTGCTAATGTCAACAGTGTCCTCCTGGCTCACAGAACGAGTTTTGCAAATGTTTGTCCTCAAATTATAGGCCTTTTCTATTTTCCTAGTCAGGTGATTATGCTACAAAAGTAAACCTAATATTTTAAATGGAACACTATTGCTGTAAGTCTGTCCCTTGTTGTCCTTTTGAATATAACACTCAAAAGCTGGATTACTTTAAAAAAATTGTATCTTGCCTTCCTTAGTTTCTTTAACTCATTAAAATGTCACTCTTATTTTTGCAAAGTATAAAGTTAATTCCAGTAATTTCCAGAGGAAGAAGGCAGAGATGTTTCTTGATTAACTGCTATTGAGATGCCCCAAAGCCACATTCCTGCAAGAACCCTACCAGCTCTTGTATGAGCTGGGAATATTTCTTCTGGCCCAACAGAATTTTCTGAACAATCCTCAGTGAAGTTATTTCTTTTCCATGTGTTTTGGTTCTCTAGTTTTAAGAAAGGAAAATGATCCTTGCCTACCTCACAGAGGTATTGCACATCATGAGAATGAATCCATAAAAACTCATAAAGCACCAGGTGCTTTAAGACAACATGAGCCTTAGCCTGAGGATTATATAGAGCTTTAAATGGAAGAAAATATACTTTCATAGGCCTTGCAGTGCTTGCAGCAGAAACTTTGAATAAAATGAGGGCACATTTGTACATCTGTCTCAGTGGAGCAGTAAAGTGGTGGCTAAAGAGAGATGCATCTTGAGAAGAGCATCTCCGGCACAGCTTCAGTCACAGCTGCCTCCTGAGCTTGTCCTTGTCCAGATCCAGCAGAGAGGAGGTTCTGCAAGGGGAGGTTCCTGCACAGGAACCTCCTGCTGGAATGGGCATCTTCCACAGGCAGCAGAACATTCTCGTTCCCAATCCCTGGGGTTCTCTTTAGAAAGGAAAATGTTCAAGTACAGCTGTTCAGAGTGGCAAAAAAAAATGTTTGAACCGTGGATGAAATTCAGGATGTTGATGACATTATGTATTTCCTGGCTGATGTGAGGTTTAGAGCCATTTCAGAATTATGCAGAATTATTATCTCCTCACCAAATCATTGTTGTTTGGGGTTTTTGTTTGTTTGACCTTTTTTTTTTTTACATAATAGACAAATATACAGGGGAAACACTGTCTACAAAATAATTCAAAATAATAATTATGTGGTTATTGATTAGCGTTGCAAGTGTTTAGGATAACCATGAGGGTCTGCACTAGTTTTTGGTTTAATTTTTTGCTGATTCAGTATATTCTTTAATTTCTAATTAAAACCACTACTAAAAGCAAAAATCTCACACAAAAATTCATGACTCAGTTTCTAGCAACATCTTTCCTGCCAAAAGTTCTAAACTTGACAATGTCATCTCTAACATCACAAGAAATAAAAATGTTTTTCATCATTTCAAAGTGGCTTCAAATCTGAAATCAATGAGGGTGAATACATGCATCTCCATGCCAAGATTCATGCTTCTAAAATAAACCCCACAATAATGTAACATATATCATCTCTTCACTTGTACATTTAGCATTCTTCATTTGCAGAATACCAGATGTTTCCTGTGTAAACTTCTGGGCACATATGCAATTGATAAATGGAGAGGAAATTAATGAATTGAGAAGATAAGCCAATCTGGGCTGGAAAAGATGGTTTCCAGCTGTGAATGGAAGTGATTTATCATTGAGCTAAAGGATCAGCTTTTCTAGCTCAAACCAGCAGACACATCATTACATTTAATCCAGACTTCCACACAGATATTTAAGAGTCTTGCAACTGACTGCAGCAGAGCCAGAATTTCACCCATAGTGTTTGCCTAGGCTGGAAGCCCATTCCCCACAGTTCTGTTGTTATTATTTATTTATTTACTTAGTAAGTGTGCTTATTTCTGGAGCAGAGGAATAAAAACCATTCACTTGTGCTCTCAGGATAGAAGGCTTGCAGCTGTGGCTGCTGCTGAGCACAGCAAAAGGAGACTGAGCTCCATTTAAGCTCCTGAGACTGGATTCTCTCTCTTTAACCTTTGGTCATGTGAGGGGCTTGTTGACCTTGTCATTGTTGACACCTGCCCAAACCAGTGAAGAATTTAAAATTTTGCAGACTAGAAACACATGGCTGCTTGGAAACTTGAATACCTGAAATGTGCACACATGCTATTATGATTTGCCTGGGTAAATGTTTGTAGAAAAGTGAAATTATAGAAGATACTTGCAAATATTTAGATCAGGACATGTTTTTTGACCTGCAGTGAGGCTCAGAGGAATAAAGTGTTCCCAAACCTCTCCACAACAGCCCTGGTGTACAGGGAGTAGCCAGGCAGAGATGAGATGGTAACTCAGGTTTTTTCTTGCAAGCACAATAGTACAGAACATTTTGATTTTGAATACCCAGATTACTTTCCATCTAACTCATCTCCATGACAAGCTTACTCTGAGCCTCTAAAGTGAAGAGATGAGGTGGTAACTCAGGTCTCGGTCTTTTCTTGCAAACACAATAGTACAGAAAATTTTGATTTTGAATACCCAGCTTACTTTCCATCTAACTCATCTCCATGACAAGCTTACTCTGAGCCTCTAAAGGCAGCTGGGCTGATGTGAGAAAGGGAATGAGAACCTGTGGTGAGGGAGACCCTTCCCAGACAGAGCTGTAAGGTCCATTTGGATGTATCTTTGGGTCCCACTGTGCCTTCCAGTGTCTCTGACCGAGGCCTTAGAGACAGCTCAGCACACTAGGAAATGGTCCCAGACACTGCCACTGTGAACACAATCACTAAGGTCACATTTTTCTTAGATTCTCTTTTACTTCTTATGCTACTCTGTCATACTGAGGAATTCAGAGCTCCTGTAACTTGCTCTTGGTGTAGGAATTCCAGTCCTTTGTGCAGCAGAAACAGAAGAACGTGACTTAACCCCATGTCACAAACAGATGTGGGAATTCCAGTGCACATCCATCCCTCATGGCAAAGTCACTGGAGAGATACAGATGGGTACCTTCCAGTGCACACAAAGGTGGTGGTTTTGTGAGAAGCTACAAAAGAGATTGTTCTCTGCTGCTGCTCCATGACTGAAATAATTTGGCCCATTCTCACCAAGACATTGATAAAGTACAGGTGGCCTGGGCAAATGCAACCTGGAGGAGAAAAGAAGGGTCTTTTGTAGGCTTCTCTTCCAGATCCTTCTGATTTGAAGTCCAAGTAAGTCTAATTAAAGTACTTTGTGTGCTGACATGCTGTTAGGGTCAGGAATTTGGGTTTTTGAAAGGCAAACTGTGAACCATTTTTAATTTCAGTAAGTTGAACTCCAAAGAGAATTCTCTGTGGTATGGATACACACTTGGCCTGAAATCCCTTGACTGATGAGATCAGCAACTTGAGGAACTACCAAACAAAGGCAAAACTTGGTCTTTCTGCATGAGCAAAATAAATCTGAGGCACAGAATATGTTCAGTCAACAAACTAATCCCACTAGCACCTGAAATACTAGGACAAGAAGGGATTTCAGGCAAGGCCATCAAATTCCAGCAGTGCCATAATGCTGCTCTAAAAGGACAATTGTGTCTTTTGCCAAACAAAATAAAACAAATAAGAAAAAGATCCCAAAGCAGAAAAAAAATACAAAACAGTAGTCTTTCTAATTGTGTCCTTTATCTGCAAATTGGCATGAACAGCTGTAACAGCATTTTTAAGAATTATTTTCTGAAAAATATGTGTTTTACCCCTTTATTTAAGGTTTTGCCTATTGCAACTATTTGCCTATTTAAACTAACATTCAATTTTAATACTCCCTTGACCCTAATAATGGATTTGATGGTGAGGTCCACAGGCTGCATATATGGAGTCCTGTGGGGTATAAAAGACCTGCTCCATTGTTGTTGGCTGGTGGCCATTCATTTAAATTTTACAAGAAGCAGCCAGTATAAACATCTGATAACTTCAGATTTATCTTCTGAAACTTACTTTTTTCTCAGTCTCAACAAAATATTTGTCCTTAGATTCAGAACTGAGGCTCAGGCCACAGTTCCTCCTGCAGCTCTGTACAAAATGCTGCCTTCAGAAAGCACAAAGAATGGATGTTGTTACCGGATTAAGTCCAGCAGTGCATCTGCAGAGCTCATGATGGGCTTTCCACCCTCCTCAGTGCTCTCCTTCTGGGCTGCTCCACCAGGGTGGATAATGGACACCATAATTATTCCCACAACCACAGCCACAAAGGTTGTCCACAGGTAGTAAGTGACAGTTATGATTCCCAAGCGACTGGAAGTCTTGGCATCCAGGGCTGCCAGCCCAGACATCAAGCTGTGGGAAGAAAACACAGCACAAATTGTATTTAAATGAACGTTATTTTCCATTACATTAATGCAGCTGAAAGCCTAATTTCTGAATTATTCCATCCTGCCTGCTTCTCTGACACACGATTCTGCATTTCAGTGTTTCAGTGAGCTTGCCAGTAACACTGCAGCTGTAGTCTCTGTGTCTGAAGGGGCATTTTCCAAGTGCCAGGTCAGATCCTGCTTACTGGAAGGAACTTGCAAGCTCAGGCTGCACATGTGGGGACTGAATCCTACTGACTCTTCCCTGAAATTCCAGGGACAGTTTTACACAAGTTACACATGGGATGGCTCAGTTCACAGGAGCAATGGCAATAGTTATTAAAACTCTGTGTGTCATACTGGACACATACTTTTACAGAATAATAGAATTCAGGTTTGAATGGACCTCTGAAGAAAATCTAATCAACCCTTCCTGTTGAAGTGGGGACACAATTTTAAAATTAAAACAAGTTTGAATGGACCTCTGAAGAAAATCACTCAGCCCTTCCTGTGTGAAGTGGGGACACAATTTTAAAATTAAAAACACTAAAGGGCAATTTTGTCACATAGTTCATTCTTTAACAAAAATAATAAGTTTTTTTCTTTTTAAAGGAATTAAATATATTTTTGCTTTGCCAGGGACCACTAATTTTTGTCATATAGTCCATTCTTTAGCAAAAATAATAAGTTTTTTCTTTTTAAAGGAATTAAATATATTTTTGCTTTGCCAGGGAGCACATTGGGAGCAGACTGTAATTCAGTGTGCCTCCAGTCTAAATGGGGACAGTGGATGGGATCCAGGGGAAACACCTCCATGGGAAGTGTGGCTGCCCAGCTGGGGGCAGAGCATGCTGTGATCACTTCAGCCTTTCCATCAGGGAACAACAGAGTCATATAATCATGGAATATGCTGAGTTGGAAGGGACCCATCAGAATCTTTCCTTTCCATCACCTCTTCTCCCTGCCCAGCACTGCCAGAGCATCACCAGTGTCCATCTTGCTTGTACAGTTTGCCTGTGCCAAGCCACACAATTCTCTACCATGAGATTTAGCTCCCCCTGAGCTCCTCTTGTACAGACAGATTAAACAGGGCTCTCTTTGGCCCTTGAGATTTCTTTAGGCTGCTCTGACATAGACCCTGATGCAGTTTCCAAGTGACCTAAGTCTGGGATTTGATTTTCCACTGACAGCAGTGTGGTTTGGGGCTTTAAATTGAGATTTCCTTTTGGATAATTCTCTGTGAACTCTCCAAAGCATACGTCTCAGGAAAAGTACAGGTGAAAGAAAATACCACATTTATTATTAGGTGTGTCCAGCTTTCTCATCAAAACAGACCTGTCTGTTCTCAAAAATATTTCCTAAGCTGCACCTCCTTGAATGAAATCTCCTTCACCTCACACTGCTGAGAGAGGTTGTCTAGAGCCAATGCTAAAGTGCAGCTTAACCTTTATAGCAGATTTAATGAAACCAAATGGGTGGATTTAGTGTTCAGGTTCCAGCTATCCACTAGATTAATTAAGAAAATGTATTGCTTTTCTGCATTGCCAATCTCTCATCTAGCATGGTTTTGTTAACACTGTAGGAGCAAGGGTGCACTGGAGTTTGGATAATTTAGAAAATTAGCATCTCAGCAACTCTCACTCTTGTAACCATTGTCCTTTGCTTTTATTTATCAGTGGATTTGATAAAAATCCCACCTTTCTGTGTGTCTGCAAAGCACTGTGTGCAAACACAGCACTGCATATTGAAAATACTACTGTATTTTGAAAATACTACTGCATTCCTACTGTGTAGGAATGCTACTTTGTTCCTTGACATTTCCCTTGGATGAGTTCATGCAGAAGAGTAAATATTCTAAAACATTTTTTAAGTAAAACAGTTAAATATATTTATCTCAAATTAATGTGACAGTTTTCAGTTAGAAAACCCTGTGTTGTTATTAGGTTTTTAGGACTGAACTCTTCTCTCAGGCTGAGGTTCCACAGGCCATTGAGCCAGTCTGACAGCTCATTTCTGCACAAAGTAGATACCTGTATTGTACTCGAGTACAGCACTGTTCCACCCCTGCATTCCCAGGGGGAAAATAAAGAAAAATGAGAATCAGGTTGATTTTTAACCAGTTGTATGTTTTTCATGGTAACAATTTCCAGGGTTCTTTATAGCTACATTATGCGGGTGACACCAGAGGCATTAAGGGCTGTCTGTAGAGCAGAGCTGTAACTTTTAGGCAGAGGGCACTGCCAAGGAGATGGAGAATTCACTCCCCTTCCCTCCCTGGTGCTGCCCTGGAGCCACTGTCACTGTGGGGAAGCCACCACTGTTCCTGTTGTCCTTGATGCCTCTGGGCTGTGCTGGTTCTACAGAACAACAAGGGATGAGCCCTGTCTTGATTGCTCACCTGAGAAGGATTTCCAGAAGTACTTAGGACAAAAATCCTAATTAAATATGTCCAGTGGTTCAGGTGAGTTTAGGGTTGTTACCTCAGTCTCAAGATGCAGGGCCTTAGGATTTGGGAGGATGTTTTTCAGCTGGAATCTAATCTTACCTTGCCTCCTAGGTGGCAAATCCTGAAGGGGGCTAATAATGAGATTTCTCTGTCTTGGGGATATTCATTAACAAGATCATCATCTGTAATGAGATTATCCTGTCACCAGATAAAGTCATGCTTAGTTCATGCTGTGATGAGAAAGTTATCAAAAGTAATTAACTATGGAGGTGCAATGGGGTAACTGGGATGTGACAGAAGCATGAACAGAGGTCTGGGCTCAGTCAAAATCCTCTGTTCTCCATGGCCTGCAGTGCTCAGGAAGGGACCACTGGAACCAGTTCTCCAAAGGCTGGGGAGTAACAGTGGTCATTTTAGGCAATAGCTCAGAATCATTTCAGAAAAAAGTGCCTGGAATTAGAATGAGACAGTAATCACTCATTCACTAATTTTTGTTTGACTTCATGTGTTTGATATCAGAAGGAATGGGACAAAAGACACAGAGATTAAGAGACATAGAGGTTATCACAGTTACTGTAAAAGCAAGTAATACACAGTCACATCAAGGAGTTTATTACTGGTGATCTCTAGAGTTCTAACACAATGTAGCCAAAGGGTGACAAGAACGAGTACTCTTCTTACTTCCTAGGGAGCAGGGGGCAGGAGGAATAAGCTTCCAGCTGGTTTAAACTAAGATCACTGGATCATGCTCAGGTCCTCCCTCAAAGTCTAATTTTCATCAGACACTCTTGGCTACATAAAAACTTCCTGAAGAGTTTTCCAAGATTCTTCTAAACCAGAGAAAAGCTATTCTCGTGGTTTCCACTGCTAGACTCTCATGAAACACACTGGAATGGAAAGCAGTGTACCTTTAATTTCTGTCAAAGCTCAGAATTTGGTTGGCCTTGGAAGAACAGCGCAGATATTTGATTCATAGATTGAAATAATTTGAGCAACTGTGTAGTTAAGTAGCTTCCACACATATGATTCATGTGTAGCTTTTTCTATAGCATGTTTTAATGTTTGCCAAATGGACAAAACAGGATTAAGACAATAAAAAAGCAATCTGTAGCTTTTCTAAATAATTACTGTACATTTCACTCCTTTATCAGTCTGGGAAAATAATCCACAAAATTTTAATTTAATGTTCAGACACCATTTCTTAGCTTGTATAGAAAAAAACCTGTCAGTCCTAAAGGGAAGAAGAAGACATCTTCAATTCTAGGAATTATATGTGACTAATTAAAAAGGTAAAGTCAGTTTCTACATAGTTTAAAGTATTTGTAATTGTATGAACCAAAGAACCAAGTACTAAGTTTCATGTCTGCTTTGAGGGAAATCCGTGTAAAACCCCCAAGACTAAAATAGAATTTTTGACGTAAAGAAGAAGGGAATTCTTTCCAATATCTTGGAAATCTAATTAGTCCCATGCAAACAAGTAGCTAAACCCTTTTGAGCACCTCTAGGCTTGTTCTGGCTGTCACAGATAAGCATCAAGTATTTTATTTACAAATAAAAATAGAACTTTGTAGTTTCTAGGTTTTTCTCTTGCTGTCTGATGAAAGCACATTTTTTGTCCTGTCTCAAGATCAAACCCTGTATCCCCAGAAAGGGAAAATACAAGAAGCTGCTGCTAAGACCCCATTCTGCATGTTTATTTTGTCTTCCTCTCCACCAGAAGCCATCTGGATGTTGCTTTGAAATAGATGGATTATGGATAAAGTTATCAGAAGGGATTAGTGTGATTAGAAGGACATTAATCCTGTCAAGAAGTAATGGTCAAGTATTAACCACCAACAGTTGTTCCTAGAATGATGTTTGCTTTCATTCATCCCATTCCCTCCCTCCCATTCTCATTTTGTAATTGCATGCTGTGGAAAAGACCTTCCTGAGCAAGTTCTGCCAGTGAGGCTGGGAAGTGCCTCCACCATTACATTAGAGATGATTATATTCCAGTTGAGCACCATGAGAGGGAAGTGCTGCCTTCACTAATGCTGCTTGATCATGCAGCCAGGCTGGCACTCACCTTTTTGTCAAGGTCAGTGCCTTCAAGTCTCAACATGATAATAATGTGCATTTAATCATCTCAAAGTGCTTCACCAGTGGAGCCCCCTCTAATGCAGGAAGGCAGTATCTCCATTTTAGAGACTCGGAAACAGAGAAATTAAGGCACTTTTAAATGAAGACAAACTGCTTACAGTGAAAAAAAATCTGCCTGAGGTGATCTCTGTTTTGCAGTGAACCATCACACTTTTCCTTATCTGTGCCCAGCTATCTGTGCTTTCAGAAAAGGCTGATTCACTTCCATGGAGGCACCATTTTCAGAATAATGTTTGCAACAGAGAAAATTAAACTCTACAGTTATGAAAGAAAGAGATAAGAAACTTTCTCTGGCTCTTTTTATAGTTTAATGCTTGATTTGCTCGTTCTCTACTGTAGTTAAAATTATTTCAGTGAGAAAGGGATCAGAAACACTTTTTCTTTTCAGGATATTATTTTGC